CCGATGCAAGTCCGAAAAAACGAGTTTTTTCGTGAATTTTTTCAAAAGGCATCTAATTTTATAATTAAATAAATAATAATGTACATTAATACAATTTAATATACTTTGATAATCTGTGATACATTTTGTGAAACTTTGGATTTCCTTGATCTCGTACCGATCTTCAGCAGGACCTCTCTAAAAAGGTACCTAAAAGTGAGAGAAATTTGTTCTACTTTCTCAAACATATTTAAATAGATAAACTATCTAGCCTAACTAGCCCTATCTACTTTCGAGTAAGTTTCACTCTTTTGAAATAGCCTTCTGAAAATTCGAGTATATTTCTGATTTCCTCAAATCTGTCAGATTATTATTTAGAGGATCAGGTGGAAAAGTATAATGTCTGCAGACTTGAAGAGCTTATATCATTTAAACAATATTTCTATAATAAAGGGGGTTTTTTCAAAATATGAGGTTTTCAAGAAGAAATAAAACGCATACAGTTTGATGTTATAGTCAAGAATTTAGTCCTTCATTAAATTGAGTGTTTCGTTGGCTCTATGACATATAGCGCCGTATCTTTGGAGCCAAAAATCGTCTAAATGTGGCACGAAAAAGTGATTATCCATGGCTTTATAGCGTTCTCCATTCACTGTAACATTATGACCAGCTTCATTTTTAAAGTAATATGCAGCAATGATTTTCTCTGTCCATAGAGCACACCAAACAATGACTTTTTGAGGATGTGACTGCGTCTCAACAATGGCCTGTAGATTATAATCACTCCTACTACAAAACAAACAAATTGAGTATAAATCAAATAACAGCTGTCAAAAAGACCAACTCCGAAAAAGATACTGACTAATTGTAAACGACTCGTCTAAAAAAAACAGCTGTTTTAAGAAAAAGGATCAAGTTCTGAAATGAAAAAAATATTTTAATTTAGACAAATAANCCGATGCAAGTCCGAAAAAACGAGTTTTTTCGTGAATTTTTTCAAAATGCATCTAATTTTATAATTAAATAAAGAATAATGTACATTAATAGAATTTAATATACTTTGATAATCTGTGATACATTTTGTGAAACTTTGGATTTACTTGATCTCGTACCGATCTTCAGCAGGACCTCTCTAAAAAGGTACCTAAAAGTGAGAGAAATTTGTTCTACTTTCTCAACTTTAAATAGATAAACTATCTAGCCTAACTAGCTCTATCTACTTTCGAGTAAGTTTCACTCTTTTGAAATAGCCTTCTGAAATATTCGAGTATATTTCTGATTTCATCAAATCTGTCAGCTTCGCATACATTTATATACATTCTAGGATAAACTTGACCAAACTTTTAACATGAATCACTTAAGTAAAAAAATAAGTTAAGGAAGATCTGTCTGATTATTATTTAGAGGATCAGGTGGAAAAGTATAAAGTCTGCAGACTTGAAGAGCATATATCATTAAAACAATATTTCTATAATAAAGGGGGTTTTTTCAAAATATGTGGTTTTCAAGAAGAAATAAAACGCATACAGTTTAATGTTATAGTCAAGAATTTAGTCCTTCATTAAATTGATTGTTTCGTTTGCTCTATGGCATATAGCGCCGCATCTTTGGAGCTAAAAATCATCCAAATTAGGCACGAAAAAGTGATTATCCCTGGCTTTATAGCGTTCCCCATTCACTGCAACATTATGACCAGCGTCATTTTTGATTAATATGCAGCATTGATTTTCTCTGCCCATAGAGCACACCAAACAATGACTTTTTGAGGATGTGACAGCGTCTCAATAATGGCCTGTAGATTATAATCACTCTTACAATGCGACAATTTTGCTTTTTGACGTACTCATTCAATCACAAGTGAGGTTCATCGTAGAACAAAATTTTGCCCGATGTGTCGAACCGAAACAAATTGAGTATAAATCAAATAACAGCTATCAAAAAGATCAACTCCGAAAAAGATACTGACTCATTGTAAACGACAAAAAAAAAAGCACGTGCTTTAAGAAAAATTCTGAAAAGAAAAAATATTTTCATTTAGACAAATAATGGTGAAGTTCAACAGCATTGTGGGTAAAACCTTAAATAGCTTCCAATTATAATTAATATTGAACAATTTCAAGCAAATTAACCGCAAGTCTTACAGCACTTCTTCCGGATGCTCATTACTCTTTTGCACTAAAATAAATTATTTATATACTATATACATATACATGTATGTACAACGAACTCCCTCATGTTTTCGCGCACTTAGTGTCACCATTCACACCAGAAGTGCCACTTGGCGGCAGGACCACATCTGGACGAGCGATCGCCAGCAAGAATAGATCGGTAAGAACACTTTTGAGTCACAAGTAAAGTACACAAACGCAATTATATACAAACATGCATACGTAAATATATTTGTGCGAACTTATAAATAATAGTATGTCAAGTTAAGCGACTGAAGAGTCAAGCAGTTGCACAAACACAGAAACTTTAGTGAATCAAAAGTGATCGTAAGCAAAGTAATCGAGGCGTTGATCGTGCTGAGGCCATTGAATCGGTTGTGTTGCTTGTCTGCGCAACTGACTCGACTGGTGACACTTGAACGGAAGATTAAAAATTAACTACATATGTATTTGCATACAGATTAACAAACGTACATGTGTATATATACACGAATCGCTGGCGTCAGCAACGGACTTGTGCAGCAATAAGCGCACTGATGCCGTTGAAAACGCGAATGTCTGAAGCATTTGTGAGTGTATGCAGGCAAAAAGAGAAAATAAATTAAAAATTGCGAATTGCCCGACATTAATCACATGGGAAAAATTCATGCAAAACAGAATGTTGTTGCCGTTGCTCCTAAGACCCGACAATGAAAGCATAAAACAACAAGCCTAAGACGACAGCGCGACGTTGGGATTTTGTAAGATCAGCAAGCACTGCTGCTGATTATGAGTAGAGGAACTGGATGATTGAACATGATTTAGAAGTTGTGTTGGTGAATGAAGTGGCGAAGTGGTGTGAGAGGTCGACCGGCAGCTGTTGGCGTAAACGTGAATGGAGTTTGCGTGCCATAAGCATAAGCTTATGGAATATGGTCGCGTCAATTTGGAGACATGATGGACGCAAGTTTAATGAATACAACATGGTGTAACCAGTGGAAAAAATTCAATTATTATGAAAAAAGTCAAAAATTAAATTAATAATACTACAGCGAAAGAGATAAATCTATTTGAGGTTTGAAGCAATTTATTATTAATCCAAAAAAAAATATAACAAGTTCAACTACCGCGCCACGCTGCGCCGCAACGCACGTGTAGCTGCAGTTATGCGTAAAATAAATTATTTCAAATGTCAAAAAATGAAATATTACGCAGTCATTAAACCGATATTTGCATTTGAGGTTCTCCATTCATTTTTGTTTTTTCATAAATTTTCTCATTCTGTTCGTCGCACGCACTTGCACTGCCGGTCTTTACAGCAATATACTTTTTGCATGTTTCTTAAATGCATTTTTTCGATTTTTTTCTTTTTATGTGAACATTACTCATTGCATTTCTTTGCTGATAATCGCTTTTGCTATACCTCTTTTCTTGTTTTTTTCCTTCCAGACATTTACACTTGTTGCAGCGAAGTATTTGGCTCATGTCGTACATCATGCGAAAATGTAAGTGCATATATATTTTATTCATATGTATTTGTAAGTGCGTTAAAACCAGTGACTGCGCGTAGTTGTCATGATTTTTGACAGTTAACGGTACTTTCCGTCATATCACATCGTTCAAATGTCAATGCGTTAAGCTGGCGAACGTGTTGTAATGTTGTTGATTTATGGTTTAGCTATTTTGAAAGTTTGATTTACGATTCGGTAAAATGAGGTGGTTTAGGTGGGCTGAAAAGTTTAGATGACCATGTTTATATATACATTTATAAATGTGTATGACTACCAGTTGTCAAAAATGTTGTAAACATCACTGCAAGTGTGTTGAGTATTTTCTTTCCAACTTCCAACTCTTGAAAGTGTTTTCATTCTTAAGGGGGCATTCTAGTCTAGAGACATGAATTTTAGGTAACTTTTAAAGTGTCGTAAAAAAAAGGCAATCAATTTTTTTATCAGTTATTTATTATGAGCATATCTACCCTCCTAGTCATCTGAAATAAAAAAAAGATTATCAATCTGCAATGATGTCGCAATTGTATGACGACTGTTTGACAGTATTGGCGACTGTTTGAAAAAAAAAACATACAACAAAAACAAACATTGTGAATATTTAAATTTGGGGATGAGGCAAGTTCATACTCGAGAGACTTATATAAAGAAGATTCTCTGGAAATTTTAAGTAAAGCGGTCTAGTAGAACTCGAGAAATCTTGGGTATTGTATTGAAAAAGTCTGGCCTGGGAAAACCGCATTTAAAGTTTCGCGTAAAGGTTTTTATTCGATTAGATCCAGATCAGTAAAATGTCTATATATCCGAAAATAATTAAAATTTTCAAAAATCCTCTCGTAGACATATTCTTGAATAATTAAACTTTGAATACATGAAAAATTTTTTTTTTTTAATTCTTCACTAGAATACCCCTTGAAAAGAGCTACAATATCTTTCCTTTCAACTCTCTTATGTCGTTGCGTTAAACGTAGAAAAATATGCAGACTGAAGCATTGTCACAAAAAGTTTTTTTTCAGCAATTTAAAAATTTGAGAACTTGCAGGGAAATCTTGAAGTATACAGACACATTTCTAGTTCAGAACCAAAAAAATTTTTTTCGAATTTCGTCATTTACAATACTTGTTTATGAAGCCTATTGGCTACTTTGTTCGGTGCAGAGAGCTCAGAAGAGCTATGCTCGCTAAGAAGCTTAAGCTTATGGGTCCGAACGGATATATTCTGAAATTCACTTTTCTACGATGGCGTCGCTATAAATATGGCGGGAGATATGATGGGCTTTGAAGTCTACATACAGCTTTCCAAGTCTACATATAAGTACAATACAAGATTCTCGTCTTTTTCAATCTGCTTGCAACTCTTCAATGAGAAGATGGCACTTATGACGACTCTGGATAATATTTCAAGCTATTTAAGGTTAACAGTGATATGGATGATAGATGCCATTCAAAAATTTGAAAATATCGAATAAATTTCGGAGTTGATCATATATTGTATTGCTTTAGATCCTTGTCTAGGTATAACTTCGGGTAAGAAAGCAAGACTTGTGCGTCGCCAACTCGAGAGTTTGTATACTATACATTTTCCTATGAATTTCTACAACTTCTGCAATCATCACCCGAGCATTAAACTGTCGGTTTCACGAAAAACCGCTTACGGCGCATGCGTGCACCTTCTAAGCGTAAATCATATAATCTAATAGCTACACCTCGTAAAGCGTGTGTCTGCACTCAGCCAACGAATAAGTTTGCTAATTTTATTGCCGCTTCAGCCCACCCGAAAAAATCGCGTCTATTAAGGCGTCTAAGCAAATGCTAAAAAGACAGTTAATGACTGACAAGTTTATTAAAAGCTTATCCTTATCGCTATGCAGCCGTCATTTAAACATTGTGGGCACTAGCAAAGAGACCTAATGAAAATTGTGCGAAATTTGCATTTTTAAATTGCCAAGACAACCCACATGTGGTGACAGGCCTAACATATACCAGTCTATACATATATATATGCAGAAAGTTGTATATATGCGCTATCTATTTGGATATTAATGTGCATGTGAAATGCGGCAAATTGCGTGGGGGTGTCGCATATCAAATTTTTATAATTTTTTTTTGCGTCACAAAATAGCATTCTTTATCATTTGGGTTAGTGCGCATGCGTGTGTGTGTGTGCGTGTCGGCAACATTCGCTGTGATCTCCGCTATGAAATTAAGAGGCTGGCCAAGTTTAAATGCTAACGCCCATATTGGCTAAATAATTTGTTGTTGCTTAATTGACGTTTACGTGATAAAATGCATATTTTGCATTCACCACGTGAAATGCTATTTATTCTTACATACTTTGTACACCCGCGGAGGCGCTACAGGTTTACCTGCATGCATGCTAAGCGAGTATTTGTCGTGCTTTCTCATTGCGTGGCGCACTGCTCCAGGTTGGTGGTACGCTGACGCGTCAAAGTGAGCAAACATACAGATATCAGTTATATACATATGTATGTATATATATATACAGATAGCTACTAATACTCACACTTACCAGTTTTTCTTTAGCACGGTGTAAGTTGACAGAGTTTATCGGCGTTATTCGCGTTAGTTGACAGCGAATCCAGTTCGCCTGAAGCGCCTGCGCAACAGTGAAATTTACATGTGTAACAACACAAACACATATGTACATTTGTATTAAAATTTCCATGCATTTACACTTGCGTGTCCGTTTGCTCGACTAATTGCGTGATTTAGCAGCAAGAGTCTGCACAAATTGTTAAAAATAAATAGTATATAAATAATTCGAATACTGCTATTGCATATCTGCATACAATCGTATACATACATACACATTTACACATTTAAATGCGCTTTAAAGTCCGCCATTAAGCCATTACCAGTTTGTCACTCGCTTAACAACTATTGACAACTTAAAATGCTGTCATTTAATTCTTAATATTACCTCGTTACTGTCTTAAACTAGTATTTTGATATCGTACTTCCACCATACGTAAATTCTTGTGTGCAGTCATTAGGTTGACCATAAAGTGGCGTTGAAATTTGCGCATGCGCCACAGCCACTTATTTATTTGCCTATGCGCACATACATTTATATAGTAGATATGTATTTATGTGAACGATGTTGCAATTAGTGAACGACATGTAGCCAAACTGATCGATAAAAAGCAGGCAACGGTTCCTTCCTGCTTAGATTGATACAGGGTGTTTCTTTTGTGTGCTAGAAAATTTTTATTTCAAAAGAAGAAAAAACGTTAGCTGCGGCTGCACCCAAGCTTTAATACATATAAAAGGTGCATTTCTTATATTATTAAAGGCTATGAAAGATCTTCAACTTAATTTTGATCGATCAGTTTATATGACAGCTATATGCTATAGTGGTCCGATCTGAACAATTAATATGGCTGTTGTAGCATTGCTTGGATAAGTAATCCTTGCTAAATTTCGTGAAAATATCTTGCCAAATTTAAAAGTTTCCCATACAAGGACTTCATTTGATGGTTCAGTTTGTATGGCAGCTTTATTCGTGGCAGCTAAGTTCGTAACTTTAGTGTTTCAGCGCAATTTCGGTCATATGGGCAACTACTCGACCAAAATTTATGAATACCATCCCATCAGAGTTATTTCAAACCACCTTTCCTAGCATAAGTGGCCTTATCTCACGAAAAACGTTCCGAAACCGAAAATTGCCGAAGTTTACCGATCATAAATGTCAACAATATGTACCTATATTGATAACTTGTTTGACAGCTATTGCACTGAAAAATTTTATGCCTCAAAAAGCACCCTATATGGCAATAAGCATACTATTCCTCCAAATTTACAGCCTTTCTCACAACTTTAGTAGTAAAACTAGGATATTACGTGAAATTTATAAATTAGCTCATAAATCAGTTAGAACTGGTTCAGAAATAGATTTGCAGAATAAGTGATTGGTGTTTGCCGCTAATTGAAAACTTGTAATAATGAAAAAGAGATTCCGCTATGAGTATGCAACGGTAATAATAATGAAAAATACCCGATCTGGTTTTAATTTTAAGAGTTGCATTCATAATTATTAAGTTGCTTTTGTTGCTTTTATTTCAACATTTTATTAATTTCGATTTTTAATTTTCGAAATATGGCAAATACAGTTTCAATTAATTTTTTTACAATTTTGAATTTTTTTAAATGCTAAAAAAGTAACATAGTATAGCAATAATAATTCCTTTTAGGTTGGATTAATTTAACTGCAAATGTGTTAACCAGTTTAAAATTTCAAAATGGCCATCAAAGTCAAAAGCTGCTCACATAAATTAGCTAAACTCTCCAAGAAATATTTATAATTGACAGACTTTCAGCTTTCAAAACTTCTTCGTCGCCGTTAATTGACAGTTCCATTGATTAACTACAACTTTTAGTGTTTTATTTATTTTTTCAAACATATTCAATATTTTATCCTTTCCCGTAAAAGTTAATAAATTGCATGACTCTTCTAATTTGTTTTTGCATCAATCAAAAGCATAAAGTAAATAAAAAACCACAACCAAACTAGTCACATATTCGCACTCAAACTCAGTCAGCGGTCCACTGGCGAGACAGCAATACAAGTACAGCGATTCCAAAACTTTTTTTGTGAAAATAGAAATTTGAATGTATGAATTTTATTTATTTATTTTTCTAACATATAATTTTAGGACTTTTTATAACAATTTGATCTATATCATCGTCTGTATTAAATCTCTCTCCGAAGAGTTATAATGGTATCATTTTTCCTCCACAGTTTCAAACTAAAAAATTTCTTTAAGTAGGGCAGCTGTATATTGTTTCGCTTTTTGAATAGCATATTGGTTTCTGTATCATTACCAAATTTATGAAGCAGTTCTTCTCAACATCTACATTTCTTCATAAGTTCAATGAGCCAAAGATACGTTCTAAACAACTTACACTATTCGGAGCATTAGAAGCTGTTCGGCCATCTGTCAACATTCGTATTATGTCCATTGTAAATAGTTTGGGAAT